GTGAGGGGGTGAGGGGGTAAGGGGGTGAGGGGGTGAGGGGGTAAGGGGGTGAGGGAGGTAGAAACCGCCTGAAGTGAGAGGACTACGACTGAAGACTACGAATAAAGACTATCTTCCAGTGAAGATGGGGAGGTAGGGAGGAGGAGGAGGAGGAGGAGGGGGAGGAGGGGAAAGACGAACCACGAACGAGGAGGCGGTGGGGAAACCCTTACGTCAGGAGAGCGCAGTATGAAATGCCGGGGTCCAAAGCACGGAGCTGCTCGATGCCTCCATGGCGTGAGCTTACTGCGCGTTAACTCCAGAAACACAGCCGGGCCGGATAAGTTACCGACATATTTACCGACATACTTACCGACAAAGCTATTACCGACAGGGACAGGGAAGGAAAAGGGAATCATATGCAAGGAAACAAGGAATGAGCTGTCGGCGACCACAGTTTGATGGACAGGGAGGGAAGGGTTGTGGGGATATGGTGGGGAGGGTCCGGAGGTGGTTGGGAATAACAAGTTGGGAGGGAAGAGGGCGGGGGAGGCGAACCACACCACAGACCATTGGTGCTGATACCTACCAAGGATGGATAGACGGATACTCTGCAGGCATTGAAGCGCAGGGGGTTCACTTACCTAGCAGCGTCAGCATCTCCAGCGCCACCGCCAGTCGCAATGCCGGCAGCGGCTCCCCACCCATAAGCCGCAGCGCCAGCGCCACTAAGCGGGAGGCCGGCTTGCCCTCCGGCCCGCCCGCCGCCGCGCCGCGCCGCGACGACATGACCTTGGCCTCCCCCGCCTCCAACCGAAGAAGACACTGGTACGCGGCTCGCCGCAACATGTGATGTGGAGACTGCTGCTCCTGCTGCTGCTGGGATTGGTGCTGTTGCTGTTGCTGCTGCTGGTGGTGGCGTTGAGGCTGCTGTGGCTGTGGAGGGTGCTGGCGGCGGTGGCGATGGCAGTGACGAGGTGAGATTTGATTGGGTCGGTTGGGAATGAGATTGGAGGTGGGGTCAGACATGGGCTCCGGGACTGACAACGGCGGCGGCGCTGTTGCGGGGGAGGGGGAGCTGCCACCGCCCACGCAGCCGCCGCCGCCAGCAGGCACCGGGGTGCGCGCAGGCTTGCCGTCGGAAACTTGAGCGAAGCGAAGCAGCTGGCGCCGTACACTGGCGTACAGCTCGAGCGCCTTGGCTTCCGCGCCGGCGCCGCGGCCCTGCCTGAGGGGACGTTGTTTACGTTGAGAGGGTGTTCAGGTAAGGGGTGTGGGGGGGAGGAGAACGGACAGCCGAATGCAGCGGGGCGATGTGGTTGGTATCTGTGTACGGCTGCGGCGTGAGGGGGGAGGAGGATGCGGGTGCTGTCGGTGTGGGGCGAACTGGAGGACAGGGGATGGGGAGGTGTTAGATCACAAGCCAATCGGGAACATCACGACGGGGGATGGAACCCATGTCCTCCTCATGATGGGCCCTATGCACCCTGTGCTGAACTGGTTGCTTGCGTTGCAACAGAGGGGGAGAGAAGGAACCCCAAAATCACATTCTCGCATGCATGCCGGTTGCCGTACTGTTGGGAGGAAAAGACCAAGAAGCTTTTCTACCCTCACCCCACCTCACCCCACCCCTACAACCCATATGCCGACCTAGGGTTCACGGACAGCGCCAGTGACGTCATCGCCGCCAGACAGGCTGATCCCACCACATAATTGGGGGAGGGGTGCAGGCAGTCCTGGAGCAGGTAGTCGTCCAGTAGGCCCAGCAGGCGGGCCAGGACGGAGGAGTGAGTGGGGCGGAGCAGCCCGGCGGCCTCGATAACGGCGGCCAGGTACGACGAATCGTCGTACAAGTTTTCTGTCGTCGTACACAGTGGAAAGAAAGAAGCATAAGTAGGAGGTGTTTGCTTGTAGTAAGCAGCTGATGGCGCATGGCGATGGGGGGGGGCCCGTCACAGGAGCAGATGGTGGTGGTGGTGGTGGTGGTCCGGAAGGAGGTTTCGGAGCCTGGGTAGGAGGGTACCCCTCACTCACATTTCTACTTACTGGTCACATGGATCAAACTGACCTGCCCTGGTTTGTACTCTCTGTGGTCTTCCACACCACCATGCAGCAACCTTAACCATCGAGTTCTCTGCCTTAGGTTTCCCAGTGGTGCAGTGTACGGCACTGTACGGCAGTCCGTCGTGGCCCCTGATGGCCCCCAACCTTGCTGGGGTATATTCTCTTTGGGGCTAATTGAGGCTCGCTGTAATACCTACTACATCACTATTGCCACCACTATCACCATATCATCACCATCATCATCACCACCATTATCATCATTGCTAGTGATATCGCCATTATCACTGACTTCAAGTACACACGCCCATGCATCTCTCCCCACACACACATACGCACCCCACCCCCATCCTCCACCCCCCCTCTGATCTAAAAACCTTTTACCTGAGTTGTCATTGTTCGTCAGTATGTCAGTCACGAGCTGCATAGCCTCCGGGGTACTGTTGAAGGACACATCACGAATGGAAGCCAGGCAGGCGGGAACGGCCTGCGTGTATAGGCACATGTACATGTGTGTATGGTGGTGGGGGGTGGGGGAAAGACGAACCACGAACGACTGAAGCTGCTGCCAGGGCAAGATTGTACCAAGAGTAGAACTGACTGGGGGTGGGGGGATGCGGGGATTTGCAGTTGGGGGGGAGGACGGTCGCGAAAGAAGAAAGTGGTAACGATTAGGAAAGGGGACACAACACCCTCCAACTCCACATACACACACGCGCGCCAGCGCACCCACCCCACCCCCTCCCACCGTCCCGTCACACTAAAACTCTGACGACGCCCTTTTTTGACGCAAGCGATGTGTCCCATTTCCCCTCTACTTTTTCCTGCACCCCTCTCGCCTGCAGCACGAGGTGTGTTCCCAGATCAGCCCAGTAGTTGGGCCGCAACACGGCGCTGACGGGGTCGCGGCACTGATCGTAGAAGAAGGACAGCAGGTTGGGGGCGGCTGGGGGAGTGGGAGTGGGAGTGGGAGTGGGAGTGGGAGTGGGAGTGGGAGCGGGGGGGGGAAGAGTCGTATGCAAGGAAACCAGAAATGAACTGCAGGAAGGCGTCCAAAGTCCGAACCAGAGGGGGGGGGAAGGACGAACCGCGAACGAGTGGGGGGGCGATGAGTAAGGAGAAGTGAGGAGGAAGTCATCAGATGCAAGAAGCAAAGGGTCAAGTGCCGGTGTACCAAACTGCTTTGGTGAAGGCTTTGGGGTTGTAACCCATCCCCCACCCCACCTCCCACCAGCCCCACACCTGGCTGGGTGCTCATGGATGGTGAAAAGGCTGCGAGCGCCCTCGCCGCCTCAATCCGTACCCTGCAGTACACCCCGCCTGATCGTACACAATCCAGCAGTACACCGATGACGGAAGAGGAATCCGCGGCGCCGCTGGATTCCAGCTGCAGACCTAGACGCATAAGGCCCTTAAATAAGGGGGGAGAGGGAGAGACATGACTGTCAGCCTGTGAGGAAGACGACGCGTGCGATTGTCGTACATACACATACACACCTCCTCAACACCCGGGGGACCTTCCCCTCGAGTTTCCCCTCGCGGTGGCTCCGGATTCACCCACACTGCTTCCCCCTCTTCGCCTCCTCCGCTCCTTCCCACCTTCGACCGCTCCTTCCCACCTTCACTCGCTCGTGGTTCGTCTTTCCCCCCTTCCCCCCTTCGACCCTCCCCCTCGCCGCGCACCCACCTGCACCGCCAGTGACTGCGCCACCACGTCCTTGGAGCCCCGCAGCTGAGCCACCCACATGGATTCGCTTTGAAGCACCACCACATCACACAACCACTCCTGGCCGGGGTCAACTCTGCAAGGAAAAGGGGACGGAAGAGGGGAAGGAGGAGGAAAGGGTGGGGAAAGGCGAGGGGGGAGGAAATCACGTGATGATGATGCTGCAAGGACAAAAAAGCGGCCGATGGCGTTGGAAGTGAAAAATCGGAGGGAAATTGGAGTGGTGGGGAGGAGGGGAAAGTCGAACCACGAACGAGGGGAGGAGGAGGGGGGTGCAAGGGGCAAACCCCGCCGTAAGTATCGCCTCACGCGTCATGCCTCACGTACCTGAAGTACTGTACGGGAATGCGGTGCTCATCCGCCGCCGCCACGGCTGCCGCCACCGTCGGCTGGGTGCCCCCACCGCCGTCCTCGTCGCCGTCGTCGCCCGCGGCGGCTGCCGCCCCCGCGCCACGCTTGCGGCGGCCGCGCTGCCCAGGCTTGCTGGCGATCTCAATCTCGTGTACGACAGCGTCCACGTGGGCCTCCATGCGCTCCACGTCAACCTCTTGTACGGCGCCATCATGGTCGTACACCGCAACCTGCCGTACGTTAAGCCACATTCTAATCTGCGTCCACGCCACCCCATAGCGTCGTATAGCAGCCCTTAACGACCCCACACTACGGCCCCATGGCCCCCTCCCCTGCTGCTGCTGCTGCTGCTTCCCCTCACTCCCCTTCCCCCCCCGTACACAAGGCTGCTGGTATTTCAGTCTCCTTTCCGAATCGGTAGCTCCTTTCACCAACTCCCGCACCCACCCACCCTCCCCAACTGCCACACCCAACCCCACCCCAACCTTTCTTTTTACATATGATTATGATGACTCCACCCCCCCACCCCATCCCCACACACCGCCCACCTTGATGCCCCTGCCCGCCGTCTCGCTCTTACTCCTCTGCGCACTCGCACTCCGCCCCGCCGCCACCACCTCCGGCCCCCCCTCCTGCTTCAGAGCCACCAACAGAGTGTTGCTACGCCGTACGTACGAACAACCGGCCGTCAGCCGCGGGCAGCCCCTGCCGTACACCCAGCGCTCCGCAAACGCCGCCACGTCCTTGGCCATGCCGGCTGCGCTGCCGCACTCCGTTACGAAACGCCGTGTGGTGAGCAGGCGGCCCGAGGGGCCGCGGGAGGGGCTCCAGCTACGGACTGCGTTGGCGGCGTTGCGGCACACGGCCTGGGCCAACGGAACCGGTAAAGGCAAGCCGGCAAACCAGTACCAGCAGCAGCAGCAGCAGCAGCGGCAAAGGATGGGCGGCGGCAGTAGGGGGGGAGACGAACCACGAACGAGTGAAGCTGATGATGTGAAGGGTAGACTGAGTCGTGGGGGCGGCAGTAGCAGTAGCAGTAGCAGTAGCAGTGGCAGTGACATTGGCGATGCTCTCCACGTGCAAACGTGGGAACCGCAAGTACGGCAACGGTCAGGAGCAGCGGTGGATGAGGTGGTGGAGGACGGCGGCGGAGAGGCGCTCTAAGGAACCCCCCCCGCCGCCGCCACCGCACTGACAAATGGAAACCGTACACCGTGCACCTAAAACGGGAGCAGCTCCGGAACCACACCAACCTTCCTTTCCTTTCGTTCCCAAACATTCCACACCACATTATACACCACCCCGCAATATCCCCCTCCCCTCCCCTCAATCCCACCTGCCCACCTGCATGATACTCCGGAAGCTGTCCTCCCCTGTCCGCCGCTCCAACATGCGCAACACCGTCACCGCCTTCCATCGACGGAGGGGGGAGGGATCCAGGGACTGTCGGGGCGCGGGGAAAGGTGGGGAAGGCGGGAGAGAGTGAGAGAACGCGGGAGCGGGGTGAGTGGGCGCCGTGGGGATGGGATGGGGGCCACATATGAACATAACGACATGGGCGAGCCAGGAGAAACTGATTCTACTGGAAGACATGGGGGACAGGGCTAGGGGTGAGGGCTAGGGCTAGGGGCAGGGGGCGAGAGAAACCCAGCATCACTAGGCCGGATGACAAGTGATTCCTGGAAGGAGGGGCGCGCGCGGGTCGTGAGTAACCTTGGGGTTCAGGTCTGGCAAGCGGAAGGCACGTAGCATGGAAACAATTGGAGGTCAGGAATTGCAACGGATGGCCAACTTTAGGACGTATATATGGACATGATGGTAGTTGGTTGGTTAGTTAGTTAGTTTGGGGAGGGTCATATGCACAAAATGCCACGCTGGTTATAAAGTGGTCTGGGGTAGGGTAGGCAGGAAACCGTTGATTGATAGGTTATGCCAAGTGCGACCAGTTTTTGGTTGACAGTTAAACCAACAGGAGCGAACATGAACAGGTGGTGGTGGTGGTGGCTGGACTTGGGGGGATGCAGATATGAAGGTCGAATTAGGCTCTGATGCCTCTCAGCCTTTTCCACCTTCCCCTTACTGCAGTCCCTTGTTAAGCTAACCCCCGTTACCCATCCCACCTCGCCGTACGTACCTCACTGCCGTACATCTGGCTCAGTGGGTCCTTCCGGCGCCGGCGATGGCTCTGCGGCGGTCCGCCGCCCGCTGCCTCCCCTGCCTCGTCCGCGTCGTCGTACTGGTTCTGCGGGCACAGCGGCGGCGGCAGGCCGTCGTCCCCCGCCAGCACAGCCTCCCTCTCCTTGAACCGCCTACACGCCGCAAGAAGGTCTTCGGTTCAGGATGCAAGTAGAAAGTGAAAAGTAAATAACCAAATGTCCCGCCCAGCTACGCTATGTCATAACACTTGTAGAAGCCATGCTAAGCCAGAAAGGATAGCTACGAGTTGATTTGGGGTTGACCATGATGACGATGCGGTGGTGGCAGCGGCGGAGGAAGAGGAAGAGGAGGAAGAGGGTGCACAAGCGGAATAAGCGGACGGGGCCATCGTTCAGCGCAATTTTTAAGCGAAAAAGCCCATAACTTTTGGCACGGTGAGGATATAGCAAGAAGCGGAGGCGGGACAGACAGGGGACGAGAAAGAGCGGAAAGGGGGGAAGTCTGTAATGCAAAAGCTAAAGACGGCGGGGGCCCCCCTTAGATGTCCAAAGCGAGAGAGAGAGAGAGGGTCTTCGGAGGTCAGAAGTTGACACGAGTGGGCGAGTGGCAGCTGTTGCTGTTGCTGCTGTTGCTGCTGTTGCTGCTGTTGCTGCTGTTATTGCTGCTGCTGCTGCCCCAGCCAACCTCTACCTGTAAGCCACCTCGTTCTGCCCCAGCCAGGCCTTCAAGAAGTGGTCGGCCAGCAGCCCCGCCAGCCCCTCCACCAACCAAGTGTCAGAGGAGGACCTGGGGGAAAAAACAAAACGGGAAAACCCAAGTCAAGAACCTCATGACATCACATGCCGTACGGGCTGCGTCATGCCATATGTGGCTGTGCGGGTGGCTCTCCCCCCCACCTGGGTAGCAGGATGACTCCAAACCACTGCCTCGCCAGCGCCTCCGCCAGCGCTATCTTGCCCTCCAGGGCGGAGTCCACCGCCCTGTCGCTGTGAAGCAACTCGCTGCTCACCTGGTACATGGACGACACGAGAGGTGGGGGTGGGAGAGATTCGTGGTTGGTGGTTGGGTTGCGTGTGGGTAGCGAGGGGGGGATGCGGTCGTAAACAAACTCGGGCGAGCATGCGCCGGATGCTCGTAATGGCCAGTACGTGTGGTCAGGACAACCCCTAGGTAGTTTTATCTAACCACCTACCTGCCTACCCACCTACTACCTACCTATCGGCATACCTATTTAGCTATCTACATAGCCACCTACATATCTAACTATCTATCTATCCATCCATCTATGTAGGGATAAGGTGTGGACAAAGAGCGCTGGCGACCTGAATGCTTCGGCGCGTCAACCTGGGGCAGCTAATCCATAGCTAGTGCGCTCTTCCGCCCTGTGCCTTCCATCGCCATCTTTGCTGAACAGCGCCACAAAACCGCTCACCACGATGCAGCCCGCCGCCACCTGCACCGGCGTCACCGCCAGCTCCGAGGGGATGAAAACAACCTGGCGGAAGCAACAACAGCAACAGCAGGAAACAATCAATGACACAAAGAAATACGATGTACGGCGATGTACAGCTGTGTACGTCTTCCAGAAGTCCAATGCACCGCGAGCTCCCAGCTTCTAGCGTCAGCGCGGAAGAAAGAAGGCGACAATGACTCCCAGGAAAAAAAGGACATACGCACAACCGCAGCTGATCAAAGAAGATAAGGCGCCGGTGAAAGGGTGAGGACGAGGGGATTGGGGTTGCACAAAACTGAACAGTCAAAGGGAAACATTTGGAGCACCGCGGGAACCAAGGACTCCACCATCCCGGGCCACCCTGCCGCTTTCCCCTTTCTGCCTTTCCTTGGCAGCAGCTTCACTCGTTCGTGGTTCGTCTTTTCCCACCTCTGCCGCCTCCGCCTTTCTTCACCCCCTCTTCATCGTTTATATCCTCTACCGCACCTTTGCTACAAGTCAAAGCGTGCTGCTATCATGCTACCTCCTTTACCCGGTCCAATCTGGCCATAGCCTGGACGCCCAGCCCTTATTCCCATATACACCTGCTCCTAAACCATCTCCCTCCCAACCAGTGCCTATCTTGGAAAACCAATAACCCCCCTCGCCTAAGAACACTGCGGCCTCAGATACCCTACACTATAAAGATACAAAAACTCCGCGTTAAGGCCATGTTCGCGGCACAGAGCACAAAGCACCGCGTGGACCGGCCCGGCCCGCGCGCGCCCTCGGGGTACCTGCAGCTGGCTGAGGGGGAAATTGACTGTGGAGGCGATCTGATACTCCTTGAAGGGCAGGTAGAAGAAGCGGGTGGTGGAGCGCAGCAAGTCCATGCAGCCGGGGGGTCCGAAGTGCGTGATGATGGTGGAGTCCTGGGGGGCAAGAGCGGGAAGGAGAGGGGCCGGTCGAGGGGCCCAGGCGGGGTAAGACTAACCATTGGCGATTGAAGCCGAGGTGGGGATAAGGGGCGGGTTGAATGTCACATGCGAATGTTTAAATCAAAATTACAACTGGCCACGCGAGGGTTAGGCGGGACAGTAGCCAGGGAAATGAGGGGCAGGCGGGGATGTGGGGGAAAGGCGAACCACGAACGAGTGAAGCTGATGCCAAGGATGGACTGATAGGCCAGAAGTAAGTAATAGGCCAGAAATAGCAACCTAACCTGTCGCGAAGGATATGAGGGAAATTTGTCCTTCATGGACAAATGAAGAAAAAAGTATAGGAAATAGGAGGGAGAGCTGAATAATGCCCTAGAATGGCTTGTCGCGACCTGCGAGATATATTGGAAAAGGCCAACAGACTCGCCACGCTTCCGCGCCATCATCCCCAAGAGAGACACTCTTCGGGCATGCACCCCCTACCTGCGGCCCGCCGCCACCTGCTCCTCCGGGCCCTGGCTGCTGCTGCTGCTTCAAGAATGATTCCACCAACTGGTTAGTACTGCCCTGGTACTGTGGTACAACTGCCAACGGTCCAACAGTAACATGCAGGTGGGACGGCACAACCGCCAACGGCAGCTCGTAGTACCAGACCTTGGCGTACGGCCGCGGCGTGCGGCAACTCGCCGCTCCAGCGGCTGGCCGTCTTGACGCCCGGGGTGCTGACGGCGGCGGCGGTGGAACCGACGCGACGGCGGAAGCCGCCGCTGCCGCCGTACCTGCCGCGGGCTTGGCCGCCTCTCCCTCCTGGCCACCATCCTTTGGAGCTGCATCCGCCCCCGCCGCGTCCATCTCCATGGGCACCGGCCCCAGCCCCGAAACCGGTCCAGCTGCCGAATCTAACGCCGCCATTGTCTCTACTTTAATGCCACCGTCGCCGCCGCCGCCGCTGCATCCCCTAGCAGCAGGTGGGAGTCCGTCCACCTCCATCGCATCCCCCTTATCCTTCTCAAGTTCCGCCGCCCCTGGAGCCTCTCCGTGCCCTACTGCCACAGCCGCCCCGTCTGCCGGCCCCCCTGGAGCCTCTTCTCCTTGCCCTGCCGGCAGCTGCTGCTGCCGGCCGCCCTGCTGCAGCTGCAGCTGCTGCTGCCCCACTGCTCCTTGCTGCTCCACCCCCTCCTTCTCCTCCTCTTCCGGCTCGGGTGGAGAGCCCACCAGTAGTCGCTGACTGACCAGCATGCCGCTGCACACCGCTACGTCGCACAGCCCTGTCTCGACGTGCAGCTCCCAGCTGTGCATGACGGAAGGCAGGTCTACGCAGGGCACCAGGCCACGTACCCGGTTAAACTGCACATCCGTGGTCATGAAAAGACCGTCCAGGTAGCGCACGGTCGCGTCGCCGCCCAGCTTGCGGTACGTAATTGTGATTTTGAGGGAAGAGGACATGAGCGGGTCGTTGAGGAGCTGGTGGCGGAGGGCGTCCGAGCAGTGTGCAAAGTCCGCGGCGGCGAGGCCAGGAGGAGAGGGCGCGCGTGCGCCACGGGGTGAGGATGTGGATGCGGGGTCGAGTGGCACTGGTGCTGGCGGCGGTGGCGATGAGGCGGTGAAGGCGGCGGCTGGTTGCTTTGGAGCCCCTGGGCTAAGGGCTGGATGGCGGGAGGGGAAAGGGGAAGGATTTAAAGTGGGGGAAAGAGGTGCGCGGGGCATTGACGCGTGGGTGGTGAATGGGGGTAATCTGGAGGAATGTGAGAAGCGCGCGACGTGCTGAATAACCCGGAAGACGTAAGCGCGAGAAGTGAGGCCTACGGTGGAAACTCACCGCCCCGGTGGCGATCCAAGGGGATGGCGAGGTCGCCATGCGTGCGGTCAGCTTTGAGAGCTGCTCTGTAGTCGTCCGCAACATAGTCCGCATAGTCCTTGACGTTGTGTTCAGCGCTTTCGTCAACGCTTTGCTGCTTGTGACGCGGCAACCACTGTGCTGTTACGACGCTGCCACCAACGCGAACATCGTCAATTTGCAGATTCCTCGCATGCAACGCCACCACACGGTGGTGCCCATGCCGGATGTAAAGCTCGGTCACCCTACATGGTAAACGTTACAACGTAATCCTCTTTTTATGCCTTTCGAGTGGGGCGTTGAAGCTCACCCATGGAGCACGCCTCGCAAATTGTCCACCCGTAGCCTGACACGCTGATGCAGGACGTGTGGGAACTCAACAGGACTCTCCATAAAAGTACGTACTGGCCGCCAAAAAAGCTCCCGGTTACGGAAATCATGGGAGTTGCAGGCTACGTTGGCCCTGCCAAATTCTCAGAAACAAGACAGTAGGACTTCGTGCTAGGTTCAGCAGGAACATGTGTGCGGCGAACGATACCAGGTTGCTATTAGTCCCGTGTGATGTTGTTAAGCGAGTCTTCGCTCAAATTACCGGTGGGACGAGATCGTACCTCTTTATTTACTAAAGGGCTCCATTCGCTTCGGGCCGACCTGGCAAGTTCAGGACCGCTTCCAATGCGCAGGTCGTAAGGGAGGACAAGTAGACGTTTTCCCTTACGGATACCAAGGGATAGCTTCGCGCTCGTGTGCGTGCGACTGCCGGTGTGCCCGCTAGCTCTGGATTCTACCCCACGCCCTTCCTTAGGCGTTTTTACGTTCTGGCTGCTGGCTGGGCTGAGAATCCTTCGCCCTGAGCTGTTCTGTCCCACTCCCCTCCCAATGACATGCTATGAACATCCTGTGATGGGATGTAACCCGTTGCATTTTTGCACAGGAGGTCTAGATTTTAGATCCATCTTCACTGCATAACGTTAACCATCCTTCGTCTCTATCTCATCGGTGCACAGATGCTAACTCGCGGCCTCTGTGGCCCACGTCACCCATGAGCCCCCGCTGTCCATCTGCTGTTGGGGCTTTCTGCAATCATGGCACTCCCACGAGGTTATCGCAAAGGCATACATGGAAGGACAAAGAAATGGCCGATAGTTAGTTTGCTAAGCCCTCCTAGCCTGTATGTAGGCTGTTGGCAGAGCCTCCTCCGCCGGCCCTCCACAGGGACGCAGCCCCGGGAGGCAGCAGCGGTACGACCACCGCTGCGGCCGACGACAACGATGAAGATGACGGCGACAATCTCACCGCGGCTGTGGCATGCGCAGCCGGCTAGAGCTGCTTCGGATGGAACTCGCAACACCGTACAGCTGCCTTAACATGCTGTTGTACATGGTGCCGTCCCTGGAGGAGCGGAAAACTGGGGGCATCTGCCTGGGCATCTGCAACGGCCCAAGGCAGTGGCAATAGCCTGGGCGAACATGCCATAGTGATCGGTAAGATGACACAGAAGAAAGTGGGGAGATGAGAGCATGCTGCTTACTTAAATGACAGTCCTTATGGGATTCTTCGGGTGTAGGCTTAATGCCTCTCCCCTATTGCTGGTGCTGGTCGTCGGAATTCAAGAATACAAAACGAGGGGTACGTTAAGACTTCCAGGTTAGGAGGTGCGCATATGTACGGCCTGCTTGTGATTGCGTAGCCCATGCATATTGCGATATTTGCATCTGGGCACCCGCTGAGTTTCAGCATACCCGTAGAGTCGCCCAGATGAAAATACCGCGATGTATGGTTTAACAACATACACGTTCTTTGCGCGGTTAAAATGTATCCGAGGGGTTGCGTGGGCCAAAATTCAGGCCAGGAGACGGGAAAGCCCAAACACCGGTAATCCTCTGAGATTGCTTAAAGCTGGCGTCGCCGTTTAGCAGGGCCATTGCGTGACAACCCCCTTCCTCGCCTGCATTAACGTTTACACGTCAATAACCTGGGAATCCTCTCGTTGCCCCATACAGGCATACAATACCTCAGCAGAATCTTGCTTCACTGTTTTTGGTGTTCCCAGAACCAACCTAGAAGCCCTCTCCTCCTTCACGCAGCCATATGCTTCCCATCAAAGCGATTCGGGACGTAGCTCGTAACTTTGACTTTATAACGAAATTGTTTAGGGCGGGCGCACTGGAAACACAGCATAACCCAGACCCAGCACAGCTCCTGCATTTGCACACCACACCACACCGCACCCATCCAGTCTTGAGCATCAAGCCGGCTTCACTCCAAGAGCACTTCCGCTGTTTAACCCTCCACACAGTCCCGTCTCCTAAATTCACACCTCGCAACCACACACACACACAGACAGAAGCACATACCGTCTTAAACCCTCAGTCCAAGAGCATACGAGAATGCCCCTACATTTCATGTGCTGTCCTCATACCACAATGCACACTCGGCACCTCACAGCTCTCACCCTTGGCTCACCACTCCCAGGTGTACACTGAAACGCCACTTGCACAGCTAGGACCAGTGCAAATGTAACCACGCCGTCACAGCGGCCGGCCACTGATTTGCCAACAAGATCACTCAAGGCCCACTCAGGCCACGTGGGGCATAGCCCGAGCGACCGCAGTAGGCGTTACTCGAACAAACCTCTCAAACAAACACAACTAACCCCATTGCCATTTGCAGCCAATTAGCTGCCACTAACGCTCGCTGTACAGCATGCTCAAAGAACTCGGTTTGCTGGTCGTTCACTCGGCGCGCGCCTTCCTCCGCAGCGCCTCCAGTTCCAGGTCAAGAGCGTCCTGGATAGGCCGGCCCTCTGGCAGTGCGGCAGGGGTGCTACTGGAGCTCAACATGCCGCGCTTAAGAGCGGCCAGCTCGTCGTCCACTGTCGCCGGAGGACAAATTGAAGGACCAACATCAAAGCCAAAATAGGAGTTGATGCATGCAAACATACGCGATCGTCCTCAAGGCACGCGCAAAACCAGAAGCACTAGGCTATATTACATGACACCATACCTGGAGAACGCGTTACCTGAGCTAATACACAACTTCAGAAGCCCATTTCCACACGCCATTGAGCGCCCAGAAAAATGCCCCCTCGCGCACCTGTGCCGCTCTCTAGCGCCTTGAACCGGTTGTCAATCGTGTCGCTACCCACAAGCATCTTGGTACTCTCTGCTTGCGCCTCCATGGAGAGCACCTTCTGCTCCATCTTTTCAAAGGCAACCACCGCATTGCTCGTATTGAGCCCAGCCATCATCTCCTGGATCTGCTGGCTGGTCTTGGCCGACGCCGCGCGCGCCTTGAGCGTCTCCTTCTTGCTGCGTGCCTCGCTCAGCTTGGCCTCCAGGGCGCGCGTGTTGTTCAGAACGTCATTGCTAGCGACTGAGAGTTGGTCCACTTGGGCCTTCAGGGTGTCCGCTTGTTCCTGGTGAATATACCGCACAGTTGCGCAGCGTCGTGGAAGGGTTACAAGCTTACGACATGGAAAGGGGCGCCGGTAGGTTATGATAGACACCCCGCTTTGCTATTAAAGGCCGGATACGACACCAACAGAGGCATCGTTGTGAAGCATGGACGCCCGGTGATTGGATCCGGCCGCTGCGTGCACAAACGCTTCTTTTCGTAGCTGCTGTTGTTCTCTTTGTAACTGCTGCCACAGCTCGAAAGGGATGCGCAATTGGGGCATTATTTAGTTTATGCTTGTAGCTAGGCGTGTTGGTCTTAGGGAAGGAAATTCTACCCATGAGTTACGGATGCGAGGGGTAGTGTCGCGTATGCGCCCGGTTAAGTTGCTGTAAGTGCTTACCTGGTAAGACTTGCGGCGCTTGAGCGCCTCCTTGGCCAGGTCATCCTCACCCTTCTGCACTGCGAGCTCTGCGCGGCGAAGCCAGTCATCCTGCAGGAAGGGGGGATTCAATGCACCGCAACAAACGGCTCTGGCTCATGGCCCCAGCTGGGTACGACCGCTGTGGCAACCCAGATTAGTGGGCTTTCAAAGCAGAAGCATTGACTTACCGCAGTGGTTTGGGCCTGCTTGTACTTCGCCTCGATTTGCTTTTGCTGGGCGAGGATCTGTGCAGAGATCGAGCTGGTTAAGTGACCGTGTGGTAGAGCTGCCAGACAGTGAACCGCTTCTTACCGTCGCGGCAGCTTGCCTCATCTTAATGAGGTCATTCTGCATCTCCTCAACAACCTGATCCAGCAGCTTCTCGGGGTCCTCAGCGTTGCTCACTGCGCGGGTCACGCGCAACTTGGAATCAAGCAAGTTGAACGCTTCTCAGGCGCGTCTCTCGGCGCGACCTACCAACATTATTCGCCCATGACCCGACAATCCGCGAGACTCGTGAAAATAGGTTCGCCTGGACCACAACTGTCCTCCGGCCCTGCCGACGTACGCCGACCACTGCAGGCAAGCCAAAGGATGCAGTTAGCAGACCGTGCCCATTACACCGCCTCCTGCCGTCAGCATCTTACATCAGCCTGTGCACCTACCAGAAGGGCGGAGAGTGCCGCGCTTGCTGCCAGCTGGCCCAAGGCGAACGTGAGTCAGCTGCATTTTTCCTCAACGAATGATTGAAACCTTGTACCAAGAAGTATATGTAGAAATATGTGGGCCCGATAAAGTACACAAATTGTATGAAAGCCTGACCTTATAACAGATGCAGATGCATGGGTAGGAAGCGTCTAGGCATGAGGGCGTTGTATTTTTTGCATGTGACTTCCATCAGCATCCTATGTTCACATATCCAGTTCATGTTTAGTTTTTGAAAGAGTCTTAAACTTATCCTTACAAGGTCTCCTCGGATGTCACTCATATCCATAGCAAGGTCATAAAGAAGTCAATGACATACAACCACAGCGATGCCGCTGGGGAAGGGCCCCTCAAAGTCTTTGCTTGGTCAGTTCCCAGCAGGGCGGCAGCTTTTACCAGCGGATTGGGGGGCTCGCCGACCCCGCTCTCGCATGCAGCCGAGACGCTTCGCGCCGTTGCTGCAAGCAATGCCAATAGCATTGTCCTCTACGCCAAGCAGAACCCGGATGTTCAGCGCTTGGTTTCGGGTTATGAAACTTGGGAGCGAACGCTTCGTAATGAGGCGAGGCAGAGGGTAGGCTCGTTCAAGCCGCCGGAGACACTGCTTACAGCTCAGTCACCGGGGTTGTCTGAAGATTGGGACCTGCTGCGCCGCGTCAACTCGAATAATGCTCTGGCCTTGTCTACTTTCATGAAGCGGTCCGCATCTGACCCTTCGCTGGATTCGCCACAACATTGGAAGGGAGGGAAGCACTGGACATTCAACGTGGGAGAGGATGATAGCTCATGCTCAGCCATAGACCAGCTGCAACATCAGCAGTCGCAGGATGTTACCGCGCCCACGCTTATCAGGTCCTTCCCTCGCGTGCCCACGGCTCCCTCGCTGCAAGAACTTTCCGATTCCTGGGTTGCCAACGAGGCCGTGGCCAAGAATTTGGAAGCTGTAGCCCAGACCATCATCTCGCGGTCAAGGCTCGCGTTGCAGTCCGCGCACCTCAGCATCCAGCAGACGGCTGCAAACTGCCAGCAGAATTTCCAAATGCTGGGTACGGCCCTCCAGCAGAACCTCGCCACGCCCGGCGCCGGTCTCGGCGCTGCCCAGTCTCCACCCGCCGGCCTCAGCAGCACCATGGCCCTCGTTCCCTGGGCCATACCAAATCCAAGCACCCATGCAGCGGATTCCCCCGATGCTGCCACAGTCCCCACCTCCCCTGGCCTTGCCGGCCGCCCAGCTGCGAACACCAGCGGCGACGCCTCGGGATCTGGGTCAGAAGTCGCCATCGGCCCCTGGGCCATCTTCCCTCGCTACCTCCGCGCGCGAGAAGCGGAGCTGGCAGCAGCTGAAGGCCTGGACGGCGCGGCGGCGACGCCCTCTCCAGCGGAGTGGTATGCGCCCTTCGAGAAGTACATCGAGGGGCTGGAGCACAACCGCCGATTAGCTCTGTTGCGCGGCTCCTCGCTACGGGAGACGGGCCGTCAGGTGGCTATCGTGACGACCGCCAGTCTGCCGTGGCTGACAGGCACGGCGGTGAATCCCCTGCTGCGCGCGGCGTACCTGGCCAGCAGTGGCGACCGCAAGGTGACGCTGGTGCTGCCGTGGCTGTCCAAGGCCGACCAGCAGCGGGTGTTTCCAGCAGACGTTACCTTTGAGACGCCGGAGGAGCAGGTAATCGGGGTCCGGGATAAGAAAAGGATGGGGAAGGATGGAGGTCGCTAAGAGTCAGAGGGCTGGGAGGGGTTGCGAATGAGGGGGACCTGGGCGTGGGCGTGTGTTCCTGCGGTATAGTTTCATGGGGCCCACCGCGGTGGTGGTGGTTGCAGGAGGAGTTTGTGCGGCAGTGGGCTCGCAACCGGACGGGATTGGAGTGCAACTTCAAGGTGGCGTTCTACCCTGGGCGCTACGCGGCGGAGAAAGGTGAGTGTGAGCGTGTGTGCGTGTGCGAAGAGGGATTGTGTGGGACTTTGGATTGGCGTTGGTGTTGGTGTTGGTGTTGGAGGCGCTGGCTTGTTCGCGCCAGGCCTGTCAGCTGGCATGACTAGCCGCGGGTACGGTTGGGACGGCGTGACTCTCTCACTCTCTCCTGCCATCAGCCGCCAACACAACACGCAGAGAGATGGTGTTGGGGAGGGCTTGGCGCAGTTGGTAAAACTCATTCATTTGGGTTCATTTGGGTTGGGTTGACGTCACTTTCGCTGCCTCTGCTCCTCTTCTCCTGGTCTCCTCCTCTTTCCTAGGCAGCATTCTCCCTGTGGGTGACATCACGATGGTCATTCCTGACCACGAGGCGGATGTGGCAGTATTGGAGGAGCCGGAGCACCTGAACTGGTGGGTTTTGCATGAGGAATGATATGTGGGCTCAGAAGAGCGGGGACGGGCTGGGATCGTGTGGAGAGGGGGGGTTGAAGACCGCGGCAGGATTGGCCTGTTGAGAAGTTCATCAGAGGGGTGACGGTGGGCAGGAGGGTGGCACTTGGCGGGATATGAAGGGTAAGCAAAGGAGATACCTTACCCTTCTTAACAGGAAGGGTGCTGGGCGATGGTGGGGGTTAAGGTTTAAGACTCAAGTGCTGGCCTTATTTCTCATCCAGTCTTTCTTGGCCATCTAGGGAATGGTCAACTTGTTTAGGCGGCAAGGGGTAGGGGGTAGAGGGCCAGGTTGTTAGTTACCAGGGATGGTGGGAGGCACATCGGTGGGACGGTGGCACCTGAATGGGAATAAGGATTGCGGCGGAGGGCGCGCGGGCGGTTGGGTGTATGTGGGGTTCATCACGGGCATGTGCGGGGGACGGGGCCGCGGGCTCTGCCGTATTTGCCTAATGGGACATCGGGCAGTGGTACGGGCGTTGAAGTCACATCTCTGTTCCTTGACACATTCCCACCCGGGTTTTCCTGTCCCTCGTCCCCCGCTGTACTCTGGCTTCATCGCCGTGAGGGGGGCATCCCATCATATTTTCAGAACGTATATCATGTGTTCAGAACACAACGCTGCTACAGTTACCCTATCTTCTTGCCCGTCCTCTGGGCACGATGTCATCTGAACCTGCATGTCGGTCCAATCGTGCCACCTCCCTTCCCCCCCAAGTGAAACCCCTTCTCCCCGGGCTGTTCCCTCTCGCGCTCTCTTGTTTATCCCCCACACCTTTCCGGTTACACAGGTACCACCACGGGCGGCGCTGGACTGACAAGTTTGCCCACGTGGTCGGGGTGATGCACACCAACTACCTGGACTACGCCCGGCGAGAGGAGGGCGGCCAGCTCAAGGAGGCTCTGCTCAAGTGGGTATCAGGGCTAGGGCCAGGGGTGGTGCATACGTGATGGTCGATGATGGTGTATAGGTGGGTGGTGGCGGGTCCTCGTTATAGCGGGTTGTGAGTTGTGGGGGAGGGGAGAAAGGCCTAGCTGGTGGTGCGGGTGGATATTCCAGCCTGTGACGCTTTCTTTTGCCCTCTGTGCAACCGTGCTTCCTTTACTGGTTGTTGTTGTTGCTGTTGTTGAGCCATTGAGCCACACTGCTTGGAAACCACACATTACAGGTACCATTACCGCCACTACCAGTTGCTGTCTTTTCCATTTGCGGGGTCCTGCTTAGGTGTCTAATCGGCTTGCCGTCTATCGCTGGCGGATTGTGGCTGATTCAGCGGCCACCGCCTAGGTCGCCTGGTTCGCATCCCTCCTCTTCGGAGGGCAACTTGTTTGGGACGAGGGCGCCCCCGGGTCATGAGGATGCTTAGTATGTTGGCACCGAGTGCACTTTTGATCATGTTGAATCAAAAGTGCTAGAATACAACTCCCGTTCCGTCCCGTGCTGTGCTGTGCCGTGCTGTGCTCGGCGGCTTTATGTCTAACCTGTGCTATGCACCCCTCTCCTCCCGCGTTGCCCCCTCCCTCCCGCGCAGGCACATCAACGCCTGGATGTGCCGCATCTACTGTCACAAAGTAATCAAGCTCAGTGATGCCGTACAGCCGTTGCCCCGCCAGGAGACCATGTTCGTACATGGCGTGTCACCGTCTTTCCTCAAGGTCAGGCACCTCGCCACCCCCACCATCACCTCACTACCATCACACCACCACCGCCAGCACCTCCACTACCTGTTCTTTGCCACCACTACTGCAAGTCCAGAGGAAGGGTGTGTGTGTGTAGGGGGGCCAACTTACTGGGCTGACGCAGGGTTGATGAACTGGCTGGACTGGCTTATATACACACACACACACACACACACAGATATGTTTTTGATGGCTGTTAGGGAGGGCTGTTATCCGCTTGGGTGATGCCTCCATGTTCATTCCAGAGCAGCATTTGAATGTTGCCTTTCGTTGTGTCTCTTTTGTTCCTCTTCAGTCATTCTGTTTTGGAATTCGGACTTTTCCTCACGTCACCTTTTTCCTCACTTTTGAGCTCTTCTGTTTTGTGTCCGGAGCACGGCAGGTGGGGCAAAGCAAGGCGCAGTTGGCTGCGAGCGGCGAGCGGCCTTGGAGCAAGGACGTCTACTTCCTGGGCAAGGTGGGTCCTGGGGGCTGTCCGGGGGGGCCTTGGCATTGACCAGGGGGAGAGGGAGGGGAGGCGAGAAGAAGCGCGTTGCGAATGGGGACATGTGAGGGTGGGTTACTGAAACGGCATCGGTCGTGCCGGGTAACATGGAGGTGGAAATTGTGTTGTTGTTGTTGTTGTTGTTGTTACATGGTCGTGGGTGCGTTCCCCGTACCTGCAAACCACCCTAGTACGAGCCGAGGGCTCAAGGGCTGCCAAATCGCCTATAAGCACCATCCTACCTCGCACTTCCAGCGAAACAAGTGATGAAGTATACTAACGACCAAAGGGAACGATAGAGTTGCGGTGAGACCATATACGTTCCAGCATCCTTGCCAGGCGTTCAGGTTCCCACTTCATAGCGTCCTTCATATGTTCGAAGCGTGGAAAGCCTATATCAGATCTGATTCCGTCGTAAACCGGGCAGTCCAGCAAAATGTGTTTCTCATCCTCGATGTGGCTACCAGTGCCGCAGCAAGGGCATACTCGCTCCTCCCTAGGTATATAACGCCGTCCCTTACGCGTTCTGTTAGCCGCCAGTGCCCAACAGCAAAGCCTAAACTGCATAAGCTTGCGATTCGCCGAACGTGGGATAAACATTGTGATGTGCGGGAGCACCTCCTTCCTGCCCGCTTGCTCGGCCGCCAGCCCCATCCAATGCTTATACTTCGCCATGTGAATTCCTGGTTGCTTGCCGTCGGACGGATACACGTCAGGCTGGACATCTAAACGCGTATGCTTCCAACCACTCATTAATCGGTCCTTGAACTCCAAAATCACACCTTCTGGCATTGGTTTGTTTTGTGTGCGGTTGGCAGTGAGGGCGGTGTCCTGCCGCCCTCGACGGCGCCGCTCATCTATCTGCCCTGCTCTGCCCTGCCTTGCTCTGCCTTGCTGCTGCACTTTGCGGCCGTATCCGTGTAATGATTCCACATCGCCTCGGCTGCTCGCCTCCATCTTCACCCCGCCACCGCCGTTCTCTGGTCAAATTTTCTACATCTGCACGTGTTCTCTCCTCTCTCTCGTCCCCCCTCCTCCGCTTGCGCTTGCGCCGTTACCTTACCTGGCTGTAGTCGCAAAAAGGTTGTGCAGCTGATAGCTCAAAATGGCTTTCCTTGATTGTAAAATTTCCGTCGTGTTCGACTGCCCTGCTCCTCTTCGCTGCTCCTGGAGTATCCGTTTATTTGGCTAAGTTCAAGTATCAGCTTCATCCGTCTGTGGCTCGTCTGTGCCCCTCGTCCTGCTTGCCGGCCGTGCTGGCAGGTGCTGTGGGCCAAGGGCTACACGGAGCTGTTGGACCGGCTGAAGGAGCACACGCAGCGCACGGGGGAGCGGGTACCAGTGGACGTGTACGGCAGCGGACCCGACCTCCAGGCACGTCTGGGACCACCACTGGCCTCTCTTGTGTGTGGGGGGGGGCTCTGGCTCTGTGGCTCGGGGGGGGGAGCCCGCTTACGAGGACACCGTGGGGGGGCCCACGGTTGATAACTGTGTGTGTGTGTGTTACATGGTTGGGGGTGCGTGACCCCATACCTGTAAAACTACCCATACGAGCCGAAGGCCCAAGGGTTGATAACTGACCGTCGTCAGGCGGTAGATTATTTTTAGCTTTTCTGATCTTTCCGCGTGGGATCCTACTTACAGACGCACACGCACATGTTTCAAGGAAAGGACATGCACACGCACATCTGATCTGGACATAATGGGCATCCGGATGTATCGCAGTTCTTGTTGATTTTGCTATCTAATACGCTCTCTACCTGCGTATCCATACGCGTTTTCCCTCCCTACTTGTTCCCTCGCCTTCCTCCCATACTCCCAATGTTCGTATCAACTTCAATCACACACATGCAAACATACATACACACGTACATACACTACATACTCCCCCTGGGGTGGGTTGCTGGAAACGGAACAAACTCGACTTCCTTCCGTCCGCTGCCACTTTCCTATTCATTACCTATCTCAACTTCCACCCCAACCCCCAACCAACCACACCACCCCCAACCTCTTTCCACCCCGTGTGACTCTCCTGGCGGGACCCCAGGCGGTCGAGCACGAGGCGTCCCGTCGCAATCTGGCCCTCAGGTTCCGGGGAGCTCGCGACCATGCAGACGCCACCCTGCAGGACTACAAGGTAGGGAGGGCAGGGGGGGGAGACTCCCAAGGGGAAATATGGGGAGCTGGTTGGGTGGGGCTGAGGTGGGGCCGAGGGGCAAGCAACTCCTAGTTAGCAACGCGGTATCGAACCAGGAAACCATTCATTCGAGTGGAATACATATATTCCACTCGTTTACATTCCACTCGTTTACAGAATGCTCTTTAGTTTTTTTTGTTGAGGTTATTAATGTAGAATACATTTAGCAATGTATTTGGCGAGGCACAGGACGGCTCCAGGTCGGGATCCAGCCCTGCCACCTGAGGCGGATGTATGGGCTGGAGGGCGGAGCTGCTTTGGATCTCGTGAAGCCTGTTTGTGTTCCTCCTCCGTGGTCCTCTCCGTTCCCCCCCCCCCTGGCGATGCTCAGGTGTTCATCAACCCCTCGCTGTCGGACGTGGTGGCCACCACAACCGCCGAGGCGCTGGCCATGGGCAAGTTCGTGGTGTGTGCCGAGCACCCCTCCAACAAGTTCTTCGAGCAGTTCCCCAACTGCCTCATTTACCGGTGCGTTCCGTCCGTCTTACGTGTGTACGATGATGTACGGCTTGAGTGGTCCCGGTCGGGACATACCAAAACGTGCGCCAATGTCGGACACGTCTTTCTTTTTGGTGCGTCATGGGTCCCTCTCAAACAATGTGAAAATCCATCTGTTCATGGAAGAGGAGTTGTCTATTGCGTAGTAAGTATTGTAATAATGTGGGCGAGTATGCACTTTTGTATATCCTTCGAAATCGAGCTGCAGTCCTCGTCTTCTCAACACCGTCTGTTGTCTGCTTGTGTCCCCACGCTCGCTTGCTAATCCGGGCCAGCTGCCGTAACAGGCCTGGGGGACTCTGCCCGCCGAGCTGCTTCGGGATTCCTCAACTCCAACAACAACCCTCCGCTAACCCTTCCCCTCCCTATCTCCCTCTTTTCCCCTCGCATTGCGCCGCTGGGGCCTCCTCCCCTTCCGCCATCACCACCTCTTCCCTACATGTGCCCGGACTTACTCTGCTGTGACTTAACTCCCCTCCCCAACCCTACCGACCAACCAACAGGAGTCCTGATGAGTTTTCTCAGCAGCTCCACCGCGCCCTCACCACCGAACCGCAGCCTCTGAGCCCGCAACAGCTTCACAGCCTGACCTGGGAGGCGGCCACGGAGCGCTTCCTGGACATTGCCGAGCTGAGACCGGGATCCATAGGGCCCCTGGACGTGGCGCTGGACAACGTACTGGCGGCGGCACACAACCTGTTGACCGGCGTCGAGGGCCTGCGGGTGGCGGCTGGCGCGGGTGGGTGTTGGGATGGGACGGCGGGATGAAGGGCGTGAGGACCTTTTGGCTCGGTAGCGCCACCACAACCCCATGGTGTGCATATGACTCCCCACCCCAACCTCGCCCCACCCAGGCGCCAAGACCCGGGACATGCCCGCGCGCATCACTGACTACCAGCCGTCAGACAACGACGTGGGCGGGCTGTTTGACGACAAGAACCGAGCCCGCCGGATCTACAGTAAGGCGGACGCCAAGCAGCAGCAGCAGCAACAGTCGAAACCGGGGGTTTTGCAGCTGCGGCCGCTGGCGCCGGTGCAGCAGCTCGCGGAGGCAGCCGCCGCGGCGGCCGCGGCGGCGGTGCCGCCGGCCCTTCCGGCGGCGACGGGGTCACGGGACGCGGCAGTGAACAGTGGCGGCAGCTCGGCGGAATGAGCCGGGAGCGGCAGTGGGGGGCCCAGCTGTGCCCGCAGCCGCCGCCTTCGCCTCCCACTAGGGGGCACCGAACCCCTAGCCCGTACCACCCTTCTCCCTCGACCTCCCCCAGCAGTTTAGTACTTTGGGCACCGGCAGTTGACTCGTTGCTTTTTTTGCACTGCATACACATGTATTTGCGTTGGCGGCCCCCCCCCTCCGTTTGGCTACCTGCCAGATGTCAGGCTGGCAGAGACAGCGAAGGGTTGCCTGCGTTACCTTCAGGTTGAGCAGCAACCCGCGCGCTGGCCCATGCGAGATGCCATCCGGCGCTACATCCTTGACGCGGAGAGGGTTCGTATGGGGGGCCCTGCCGCAGGGTCCCCATCTTGTACCCACGTCAGGCGCTTTTACGGCACTGGTGTTGCCGCTGGCAATGCCGCAGTGAGGGGAGATTCGGTGTAGGCAGCCCCGGCGGCGATGGTGATGGTGGTGGTGGGGCTACGGTTACTGCTCTGCTGCTCTGCTGTTGCTGGAAGAAAGCAGCGGCAGATGTAAAAGGCCTTCCCGACAGCATCACCTCACTAACTTGTGACGGGTCCGCTTTTCTAGTTGTATGTATGTGTGTCTAAAGTATGTATGTTTGTATGATTTACTTGGGAAAACGACTTGTTTGTTTTGCGCATGTTGAAACGGTGTTTTTGTGCACCCGCCCCTGCTCCTGCTGTCCTACCGAATGAAAGCCGTCTTGTCACGTTACGAGCGCGCGTGTGTGTGTATGTGTGTGTGTAGTTGCCTGGTGCACATGGTTATCTTGTTGGCGGCCAATCAGCTGTTGGACCTGGTGGAGGGGGATTGGGAGGGGAACGCAGTTCACCCTCTTACAAATGACAAGGGGGACGCAAGAGCGCGAACGCCGGGGCAGCAGAAGCACTCTTAGCCCCCCACTGGATCTCCTCCCGCTTCTCCGCTGTACAACTACCCACAACTCACCAAACGTTACAACACTGCGCACGATGTCCGTCCGTGGCCCCGCTGACGCGGCGGTGTTTGTCGCCGGTCATGGGCATGGCACGTTGTCAGGGAAGGGCGAGTCGTTGCGCAGCACGGTGCGGTGCGATGGCGGGAGCTTAGGGAAGGGACAAGGGAGGGAGAAGCGGCTGCAGCGGAGGAGTAATAGGCGTTGACGCCATCACGCCAGTTTGGCCTTGCGAACTCAGTGTGTTGCAAGATTGAGTTGGTGTCGTTTCGCAGTGCCTGGAGTGTACAGTGCGCACGTGTGTGTGGTCTTGTGTGCGTTGACAGTGCTTACATGAGGAGGCATACATCGTCACGCTGTGTTGCTGGCTGGCTGACTGGCTGGCTGGGGGGGGGCCTGCGCAGCGGTCGCATATTAGTGCGCTGCTGCGGCAGCTCCTAGTGTATGGTGTGAACAGGAAGAATGGACGGGAAGTGCCGGCCTAGGACGTTGCACCTCCCCAGGAGTATATAGACTTAGAAGTAGAAAAACTGTAACGCTAACAGCAATAGTAGCAGAAGCAGGAGTAGCGCCGTTGCTCCTTTATGACGGAATTTGACTGTCTCGTTGACTGAGGAAAAGGTACTGGGCATAGCTTCGTCCGAAGACATTTCCACAAGCATGGCTTTCTTGTGTGCTTTCACCTCTCCCTCACTCCCTTTCTCTTGTTCTATTTGTAGACGTGTAGTCAGCGGAGTGTGCTCGCTCCGGCGCCCCCTTGTGAAAGGTGTAGAGTAAGCTACGGTGTGGTGTGTGGTGCGCTGCGAGGTATGGAGTCGACGTGAGGAGAAAGGTGGACGCAGGCTAAAGGCACGGGCAAGGTGGCCGGTATTCCTCTTGATTGCGCAACGACATGGGTGGTACGCCACCGTGTTGTAACGCGTGGCACGTGTTTGCATGCATGTCGCAAAGCTGGGCCTGAGTACGGAATGTTGTACGAGACCCCGGGCTCCTGTTGATCTTTAGTGGAGAAGACTTGACATACTAGATAGATAGAAAGGGGGGCCGAGGTGGGCAGGGAGGCGATAGGTCAGGTGTTCAGCTGAACCACCACTCCCAATTGGTGACCACCGGTCCAGCCAGTGTGGGTCTTTCCCGGCTGCGACTACGGCTGTGGCGGTGGCACCGGCTTCCAAGGGATTGAGACGTCGGTTGTTATGGGGGGGCATTATAACTGACGAGCTGGAATGATCGTCCGAAGCCGGCAGTGAGGAGCAGGGGAACGGTGCGGGGCCAGCAGTAGGTGGTGCTTCTTCTTCTTCTTCTTCTTGTGGTGCAGCTGCGGAGCTGGCCAAATACGCATATCCCCTGTTTGTTGAGTTTCCAGGGAGGGTGGAAGGGGCCACATATGTACGTTGTACGATGTACAGGTTCTTCTGACGGTTGAGGTGGACGTGGATTACTTCCCTCCGTGGCCCCTGCCTGTACGGCAATTACCCAGAGATGATGACGTCATCGTTAGGGGACCCTGGTTCGGCGTCATGTGCTCGGGGGACATGGGTGAGGAGAGAGTTTGAGCCAGAAGTCAGAACGGAGGGGAGAATGGGAAGGGAGCGCAATGGCCCCCGCTCTGGCAGCAACCCCAACCGCTATTGGGGTATCTCGGGGTCCCCTCTGGTCGCCGCCGCAGGATTGCCCGGGGCCGTTTCCGGCGATTGAAGATGTCTTGTAGGGTAGATGAAGGCTAGCGGGAAGCAGGTTGGTTGGTTGGTGCTAAGGAGGCGCGCTAAAGCTTCGCCTCCTTTCCGCACGCATACCCCGTACCTGCATGCAAACGCACACGCCGCTTCTTTGGCGTGGCGTGGCGGCGGTTGTGCAAGGGTTGCGTAGGATGCTTGGAAACAAAGGAGGGAGATTCAGCCGGTTTTTAGTTACTTTTATGAGCGTGCACGCTTCGGAATTGTCTTAAGGCCCGTTGGGGCCGTTTGTTTGAGCATGTTTTTTTACGTAGGCAGTTTGCTGTCTAGCGGCGCTGGTAAACGACGACGATGGGTTTTAGGGGGCACGCATACCTTTCGTGTATCTTGACAGGAATCGACAGGGAACGGATGACAATCCACACAGTTGTGTGCACTTGCATGCCTTGCACCACGCATACGCAGTAGCCAGGGTGCTAAAGCAGGTTCTGAACGCATGCACATGCGGTTTCTTTGCCGTTCACCAAACCCTCTGTGGCCACTTGCAGGCCGACTGCTGCATGGCCCTTCCATCACCTCTTTGGAATGGCATTATTGTGTGCCCCATGTACTTATGTGTTGTACCGTGGTTGTATGCCTATCTGGGGGGCTATAGGAGTCTGCCAGTCGCGTGTGTTTCTGTATGTATGTGTTTGTCGTGTGCAAGCGGTGTATTGATGTGCGCAGGGATATGTGTCCTCACACATCCCTGCGCATGTGTGCGCGAGATGGGGTGATGCCTCATATGCGGTTATCGTCTCGTTGCGCGGGATCGGCCCCCGACCTAACCCCCCATCTCGACCCATGGGGCATTTGCTGCTGTTGTGCCAGCATCAGCAACACAGCAGCGACTGGTGACGGTGGCCCACGACGTACGGAGTCCACAAGGCTTCGGCGACCAGCGGCGCCTGTAAAACAACACAACGGCGGCGCGCGAAGGGCTGTGTTCACCAGGTCCGCTTGCGGCTGTTGCTTCCGGACTCTGGTTTTTTCGGCCCCTGACGCCAGCTACAAAAATTGACATCACTACTACTTCTTTGCTGTGGGAGGTTAGGAAGGGAGTGTGACAGGAGGAGGAACAAGCACATGTCCCGCGAGCCTGGGGCCCCGTGTCGCTCATGTGGGTTCGCCAGATCAGTTACGTGGCCGTGGCCGTGGCAATGTTTGCATCAGAATATTTCTTGGGTCGTCGCAGCGTGGCATGCTTTGTCTCCAGTTTGGACATGTTTTACACAAGAATGCTGATAATTATGACAACGATTATGATGATGATGATGATGATGATAATGATTATTATTACAATCATGATGACGATGGATAATAAATGTTTATTATCCCATGCAGCTTTTGGAGGTTGAGCACTGAACCCGGCATGGCTCCTGGGCCGGTCTTTCCTGCGTGTACTAATGTAGGCCCCCATTTAGTATTTGTATAGCTCTTTCTTCCTGAATCTCCCATAACACGAAGAGGGAATGTTTCCCCAGCGGGTTGGTAGGGAATTCGGCCCTTAATGCGCCACCAGCCGTCGTGTGATGTGCTAGGCATCTGGCGTCGGTGGATTGGCTGCCGCTCTGTGACCGCTTCCAATTCTTTTAGCTGGTTTGAACGCATGATCTTTTTATCGAGTCTGCGCTTAGCTATAGGGGCTATGTGCTCTGGGGCGATGGATTCGCGGCTGGATGCAATCAAGTTACCGTTGGGTTCTGGGGCGGTCTAGGCCTTAAGGAAATGTAAGCACAGCTTTGTGCCGATGCTACATTTGAAGTGCAAAGACGCACGATGTGTTCGTAACTTGATAGCTACGGCCGGAGGGGCCGGAGGTGGGACTGCTGGCCGCGAAGCTTGAGACAGAGGGGAGTTGGTGGGCCCCAGATCAGAAGCAGCAACAATAGCAGCAGAAGCAGCAGGCCCATACCCTCCAGTCCGAGCACTTCGCAAGTCCCAGTTCGTAAGCGGTTTCAATAATCCAAAAGATCCACTCCGTACCGGTAGGATCCACAGGATCAGAAGACTGATCTGGATCCTGCCGCTGGCGGTTCTCTTTTCCTTAGTTGCCGCCGCTGTCCGTGAGCCGCGTCTGGCCTGGCCGAACCTAAAATATAGCACGTGGCAGGTCCTCCACAATGCAAACAGACGATGGCGTGGTCGGTAGAGGAACACTGCCAGACAGACACATCCAGGGAAACGTGTGGACCACTCCTGCAGCATCCGTACGTCCCTCGCAAGCCCCATAAGTCCCACTCACACAGACTTTATGTGAATAAAATGCCCCAATTGATTCTCAGTGCATTGGATACATGATGAGTAAAAATGAATTCCAGTGCCCGAAAAATGGTCACCCGAACAATAGTTGACTGAACGGTACGACCTGGATAATGACAAACCTTCAAGGCTCAGGAAAATGAAACATTCCATACGTCGAGTTCCGTTACATTGACACTCCCGTCGTGTCCCTTACCCATCCCACATTGTTACCAGCTCAGCAAGATAGCTCAGCAAAACTGGAATGTGGGGCAGCCACCACCGCAAGCCTTCGCCTGTATACTCGCTTTCTCCAAACAAACCCCCTAACTTGGCACTCCACGAGAACCACTTAAGGAAAGCCCGTCTTCAACGCTCCCAGTGGTATGAGCGGAGGAGTCTGCGCTTATTACACCGTCATTTCGGGCTGCCATTTTTCGCCACCCACTCCAGGTAGCGCTTCCGCCGTAGCGTGGTCAAGACCTCCCACTTCAGAGCAGACGCCGTGTCACTTTTAAGCTTTGACTCGGGGGTCTTCAGCAAATAGGAGTCAAGGCCACCCATATCCTCGATCATCCTGTATACAAGCCGGTGGGGTCAGCGCCTGTGCACTGCACGCCAGGTCCTGCCATCTGCATACCTGAGCGTCGAGTTAGTCATGGTCAGGGGTACTTTCCGGTCGAGCACCTCGCTATATAAGTGGACTTTATGCCATTGTGGCATGACCAAGGATACCCGCCTGCGACGGAAGCAAGAGTACCCATGATGTGTCGCCAGAGGCTGCTCAGGGACGGCCCAGGAACGTCAAAACCTACTCGTCTTTGCTCTTTGGATACTGCCGCACTCTCAGTGTAATTTGATTGTCTCCCCAAATCACTTTTCGTTTGCAAGCCTGAAGGCGTGCGAAAGCTTCTTGGGCTGGCGGAATCAGCCGCTTTAATAATTCTTGAGCTGATGCAGCTTTTGACATTCCTCGCAAGTACTTCGTCAGAACGAAGGTAAGCTTTCCTGCCGCAGGATTGGCAACGACCACTCTTCCTAGGAGTGTTAAGCTACTTTTCCACAAGGATTGGGTACTTGAGAAGGACAAAAAATTGCACGACGGTAAAAGTGACGCAAAGTTACCCTAGACAAGTAGAACAAATTAGGCAAAAGCTTCTTCGCCAGTTGTCGCCACTTGCTACAAACACACAAAATAAGCTGTCGCGGAAATCTATTGCTAAGCAACTACTTACAACTCTGTATGTTTCTGAGGCATGAGCAGTACTACAACTGTTTTGGCGGGACCAACCAATACCCAATGCCCCCTAACTTTTGCTTGCGTATCATCTTGGAATTTCCTATGTTCAGGATCGATGCACCAAACGCCTCTAGAACTTACGACTGTCCTGGGAGAACCCCTCAAGACACTCAGCATGTCTTAAGGGGTTATTGTACTGTACGCATTAATAAGCTATGTCGAAGATGGATTTGCACGCTCGATCAGCGATCTTGCTACCGGAGGAGCCCTTCGGGATGCAGTTGCTTCGCCGTGAGCATGAGCGACAGGTGAGGACCGACCGCTGCTCGTGTATCTACCGCACCGGGCTGAATGTTAAACATGATGAAATCTTAAAAGCTTCCGTCCTTGTTAATTGGGCACGTCAATATTCATCCCGCCTGTCGTCCCTCTGTGATACGGTTTTTCGTGCACGCTCCCGTAGGCAGGACTGGCGGCCGGCACCAAAGGAGGCCGGTATCAAAGCTTTGTCGAGACTAGCAGGGATGGTGGTCAGAAACATTGGCAATCAACAGCTGCCTCTGGTGGAAGCAACATAAAGCTTTACGTGAGGGAGGGTGCAGCTGTGTCTGGCGGCGACGCTTGCGTTGAAGAGGTGGCCGTGCTAGGGAATCGGTAAGAAAACTTTTCCATCCCCTCCGGACATGCACCCCTCTCTCTCCCCCCCCCCCGCGTGCACGTCGCTGACAGCATTGAAGCCCGCCGCTTCGACGTCGGCAAAGGGAAAACAGTAACATTCGCAAGTGGCTGGCGGTGCCACGCTCCGAAACGAACTGTCCAGCGGCAGCTGCGGTAAAGCTCTATTACTCCTATGTCATACACATCTCAAGAGAGGCTTCAATTCCCTCGCCCTACGGATGGCTGAAACCTCTGCCCTGCCAGGAAACGCCGTGCTTATGTGGTTCCTCTGCCCTCCTTTCGGGCCCAGTCGCCATGACGAAGGGCGGCAGCGCATCTCTTTCCTGCATTCCTGCAACAGTAAAGGACTGAATTTCGGCTTTCAACGCGAACTGCGATCTGGGTCATGCGTGTTTGTGCGTGGGGATGGTGTGTGGGTATGTATGTGTGTGTGCAGGGTGGCCTGGACCAGTGGCAGCTCTATACGGAAGCTATTTACCCTGGGATCGCAGGTTCTCCAGGTAAGGCCGCCACTGAATAGCTGGCTGGCTGGTTGAGGTGAGGTGTGGTGAGATGCCTGGCTCCTTTGGCTTAGGCAGCTTCTCGCGTCAAGGCGTGTTGGGGTTGCATAAAGCTCGCTGGGGCGGGGTGCCGCCGCCATATGACCGGGGCCCGCCCACCTCAGCAGGAAGCGCGACGCCTTTTGGAATTCCGGGTTGGCTAACAGGTATGCTTCGCTATTTTTTACACCATGCAGAGTTGCAATGAGGTTGAAAGGTCTACAACTAGGATATACCGTAGGATTGTCCTCTGCTGGCACCCGCCCTCGCCTTTCCGCATCCTAAATCCCTCTGTCTCTCTCGCGCGCGCACGTGGCCTCTCCCCGACCTTCCCGCGTCCCCTTTCCCTGCGTTGTGCGTCTGCAGGCCACCTGGGCCGTCTTCCCCGGCTACTCGGACGACCCCGTGCTGTGCCTGCTGTGCGCCAACTGCTGTCTCACCACATGCACCCTGGGCGGGGAGCTGCAGGAGAGCGCGGTGCCGGCCGGTCTGGACGCCGTGTGGGCCGCCGGGAACTGCGGCGTGCTGCTGGGGGTAGGTGCGGGACTAGGAGTGGGAGCGATAACGGGGAAGATGAGAGGGCAAGGCAGGGCGTGAGAGCCCTTTAACCCACAAGGATGGGAAATGATACAGGAATTGCATGAGTCTGGGCTGCTGTTGTGCACGGTGTCGTCTGTGCAGTGCTTGCATGAGTCCCTTTGTGCCACCGAAAGGACGGGTGCCGTTGCATGGAGAGTTCCCTGTAGCCGTACAGCCAAAAAGGGACGCCTGTTTGGCGACGGGGACAGAACTGACAGGAGGAGTTTTGGGATGTAATAAATATCTAACAGACTCCTCATCCTTCTTGAAACGCATTTTCTTCCACAGGGCCCTATGGCTGCGACGCTGTACTTGCTTAGTCATCCAATGGACGAGCCGCAGCCTGTGATTGCCGACGTGTCGCTCCGAGCGGGCCGGCGGGGCTCGTATGCGGGCTGGTCCGGGGAGCAAGTTGTCTGGGCGTCCTACGAGCTGCCGTACTTGGCGACGTACAGCGAGGTGGGTTTGCTGGTGTCTCTCGTCACGGCCACACCTTTGCAGCTGGTTGAAGCCTCTGTGACATTTTCAGGTCCCACTCAGGCCATTTAAAGCGTCCTTCAGTCCCCGCTCCCACCTTTGTAGTAGTAGTCTTTCGGAAGCCAGCTGGCTGGCTAACAGTCCGTGTCCGGCAGCCTATTGGGTCCCTCTTGCACGCCCGTCGCCTGGGGCTCAGGCCGCCGGCCGGCTGGCGATCTGGACAGTGGGGCGTGCGCCGCTGGTTCCGGAGCTGCTCGGCAACCTGCCGGACATCCCTGCCGCTACGCCGCTGGGCGCCAGCGTGCCAACCGTTGCCGGGGCCATGACGGGACCCGGCGGCGGCGGCACTGGCGGTGTACCACGGACGGGCATGTCCGCCGCCTCTGCGGGCACGCCCGTCAGCATGATGAGCATGTTTAGCTTTCAGCCTCATGCCGTCGGTGGCGGCGGTTGCGGCGGGCCGCCGCCGATGGCGGCGGCGGCCGGTGCGGCTGCAGGCTGCAGCGGCGGCTTGCAGCAGCCTCCGCTGCCGCCGCGGCGCTCGGCGACGTCCCAAGGTACCAGCGGAGGTGTTGGCGGCAACCTGTTTGCAGCTGGACAGCAGCACGCTGGCCATCATCCGCCAACGCCGTATTGTCCTCCCTCCGCGGCATCTTCGGACATGTCCATGGCGATCAGCCCAGCAGCCACAGCGGCGGCGACGCCGCCTGTGACCCTCACCCCAGCCGTCGGCCACTATCGTCCGCACCTCCCCCTTCCACCACACCAGCAACCTCTTGAACGTCATCAGCATCAGCCGGGCCATTACCACCAGCAGCCCTCGCCGTACTGCCCACCAAGTGCTGCGCCCTCCGACATGTCAATCGGGTTCACCCCAGCCGCCGCCGCCGCAATGCACGCCGGCACACCGCAGCGTCCCCCCCACCAGCCGCTGCTACACTCCCAGCAGGTCGCGCCGCACCCGTCGCCAATGTGCCCACCTAGCGCCGCTCCCTCCGACATGTCCTTATCAGTATCTGTGCCGATGTCCTTAGCATCAGGTCTGACCGGAGGCCGCGGCGGCGGCGTCGGCGGCATGGCTGCAGCGACGCCAGCGACGGCCTTCGGCGGGGCAGCATCAATGGCGGCGGCGGCGGGAGCCCCGACCGGCGGTGCCGGTCGGTATCATTTGCCGTACGACAGCGGTGGCGGCGCCGCTGGGGCTGCGTCGCCGATGCTAATGTCCCCCTGGGTCCCGGCGGCGTCTCCGGGGCCGGGATTGGGGGGAGGCAGCGTCCCGAGCACGGCCCTGAAGAGGTGGGGTTCCTGGGGACACGCGCTCCTTTGTTTGCCCGTAACCCCTCCTCCCGGCTACGACCTTTGGGGGTTACCGGAAAGCCGCACGGGGCCTTCTGTGTGAGGAACATTACCCTTCTCTTTCCACCTTGCCTGGCATACACGTGATGCCGTGCCGTTCGGTCCTGTCTAATAACGCTCTGGGAGGTTGCGGCCTTCTCCTTCCCGGAGAGCCGGCGGCCGCTTCCTTACCTTCTTCCTTACTTTCTACCTTGCCTGTCTACCCTTCCTGATGCCTGCCAGCCTTCCTGCGTGACTGACCCCCCGTGGTTCCTGTGTGGCTCCTCCCAGAACAACCGCCACCCGCACGCCGGAGGGCTTTCTATCGCCCCACCTCTTCAACCCCATACCTCGCACCGCAGCCGCCGTCACGACGGCTGCGGCGGCCGGCTCTCCCCCTGGAGCCTACACCTACGCCCCGTCAGCATTCAGCCCCGCGCCAGCCCTGGGCTACCCGCACTACACCCATCACCAAAGCCACAACAACGGCTCCGGGCACGACCAGGGACCTCAGGCGCGACACGCAGGAACGCCGTACGCGCAGTTGCTCGGAGGCGGGGTCGGACCCGCCGCGGCCGCGGCGGCGCCCGCAAGCACGCCTGGGCTGCTGGGCGCGACGGCGGGCGGGCGCCGGGGCAGTCATACCCACCTGACGGGGGCGGCGTTACGGGCAGGGTACGGCGACTTGGCCGAGGAATGTACGGTAATGGTGCTGATGCATGAGGAGATTATACAGCCTGGTGGGTAGTAGTCGGCGGGTGTGTAGGGGGACTGGGTTGAGGTGGCTGGCTGTTAGGCAGCTGGCTGCCGCATACAAAAGGGAAGGGGAGGGACACGGCTGGGCGATTGGGTACATGGCTAGCTGTGTTGTAACTGACCTCAAGGTGAAAGCCGGAGGGCATGGCCGGGTGCATACATACATACATACATACATACATACATACATACAGAAGCATGAGGCACTTACGGAATGACCTCAGGCCCACATTCTTTATGTGTGTGCGTGTTATACCTGGAGTTGCGTTATTTTCTCCGGAGGTGTAATGGGCAACGGCTAGCCGGAGGCGCCAAGGCCAGCCTAGTCTCAATACAACGCACGTACATACGTACGCACGCACAGGTATTCGCCCCAGCGACGCGGTGATGGTCACCGACCTCCACGGTGCGCCGTTGCTGTGCGTCCTGTGCGGACAGCAATCCCGCGTCCTGGCCTTCTCCATCACCGCGGCCGCCGCCGCCAGCGTATCCAGTACGGCCGCCGCTACACCCGCACAGCAGCAGCTCCCCACGCTGGATTCTACGGCGGTAAGCGGCGGCGCCGCCGCCGCGGCAGCAGCGGCGGCGG